GCTTGCTGGCCATGTGACCGGGTGGGAGTGGCTTGCTGGCCATGTGACTGGGCGGGAGTGGCTTGGCAGTCATGTGACTGGGTGGGCGTGACCAACTAGTAAAATGTAGTGAAACTCACTTAACAACGCTCTTGCTTAGCAACCAAAATGTTGGCTCAGAAACTCTGGCATTTGAGGCACGCAAGTCTTAAAGCTGTCAAATTACAACACCCTCGCACCCCTAGCCCTTTAGAAAAAAACCCCCAGGGGTGTTCAGACTTGACAGCTTTAAGACTTGTGGACTTCAACTCCCAGAATTCCTCCTCTTGCTCTTCATCTTGATGATGCGCGGACGGGCGGGGGGGAGGGAGCTGGAACCGGTTCTAAATGGCACGGTAGATTTGTGGAACCCACCCCTGATACACACATATATATACACACACACACACACACATCTGATTTCTAAGCTGTCTGGCTCCCATACAAATGCATACATTCTTATCCTTTTGTTGTATGCTTCTGTGTACAAAGACAAACACACATACACACCAATTTCTGTTGTGTTTGTCTGTGTATGTCTGTGTGTGTGTAGCTTAAAAACATTTTTAAGCTACCTGGCTCCCATACAAATGCATATATTCTTATCTTTTTGTTGTATGCTTATATGCATACTTGCGTGTGTGCGTACACACACACACACACACACACACACACACACACACACCAAGGGTATTCAAGAACATGGATTTCTCTGCAAAACAAGATAAACGGCTCTTCAGCCCCCGCAGCGTTGCCAATCCTTAGTGCTTTCCCCAGTGTGGTGCTCTCCAAAAAAATTGGATCAATAGCTCCCATCATCCCCGGATGAAGATGATAGGAGCAGGAATCGCACATAACCAGAAGAGGCCAGGTTGTAGAAGATGATGTCCCTGTAGCACTTTCTCATAAGTTCAACTAGCTTTCGGTCCTCCTCCATCTGAATTGCTCTCTCAATCTGGCTGGTGGCCTTTGATGGTCATTGTTCGAATTTGGTCTATCGGCGGTGGCGACAAGACTTCATATACCCCTTGAGTTGGTGACAAGAGCAATGCACTGGTGTGCCGTAGGGTTAAGTGTTGCAGCCGGAACCGTTAAGTATCATCACCGGGGTTACGGGACTCTCGTTCTGGAAACCTTCCAGCTTCTCGACCTTGGCTAAGGGGCTGTTTATGGTCACGGCTTCTTCTGTGTCAGTCTCCACCTTCTTCTCCTCGTAAAGGTTCTCTTCTTGGAGGAAGAGGCCACTCTCTGCCGAGGGAGCTGCGCTGTCCTCTGTGGTAGCATCCTGATGGCGCTCATTTCTGCATCCCTCGTGGTGGCTGTGGTTGCCAAGGCGGCTGGATGCCACCACTGCTTTCACGGCAGCCTGTGTGTATTAGACATGGCATGACAAAGAGTGACATTGGTTTGAATGCACATGTTTATTATTTTAAAGGAGCCGTAAAAAGGATGCGGTTGGCAGTGACTGTGTTCTGACCCAGCTCCCCAAACACGACAAGCCTTCTGAAGTTAACTCAAAGATTCCTTTAATTAGGAATGCCGGCAATCCCGGCAAAACGTTTCTCTCTGACTGCAGGCTAACAAATCTGTCTGGCCGGAAGATGCATAGTTGTCTGCCACATCTATTCATCTTTGCCCCCTGCCTTTTATCCCCAGTGCTAGGATGGAGCTTCCCTAGCATCAGTGGCTCTTCCTTCCCAAGAATTGGCCCACGGATTTCCACTGCTCTCCTCTCCTCTGCCTTCTGCGCATCTGCATGTCAGGCACCAGACTAGTCGTGGGTTTCAAAAAGTTTTAGAACCTCTTCTGTAGGTGTGGCCTGCTTTGTGGGAGTGGCTTGCCAGCCATGTGACTGGGTGGGCGCAGCCAACTTGTAAAATGTGGTTAAACTCACTTAACAACG